AGCCGGCTGTCAACCAGTACCCCCAGGTCCTTTTCCACCAGGCAGCTTTCCAGCCACTCTTCCCCGAGCCTGTAGCGCTGTGTGGGGTTGTTGTGACCAAAGTGCAGGACCCAGCACTTGGCCTTACTGAACCTCACTCAGTTGGCCTGGGCCCATGGATCCAGCCTGGCCAGGTCCCTCTGCAGAGCCCTCCTCCCCTCCAGCAGATCAACACTCCCACCCAGTTTGGCGTCGTCTGCAAATTTGCTGAGGGCACACTCAATCCCCTCATCCAGGTCATTGATAAAGATATTAAACAAGACTGGCCCTAGAACTGAGCCCTGGGGGACACCGCTTGTGACCAAAGCCGCACTTCCTCCGCTGCTAAAAGCTGGAGACTTGGATTTTGCCTGAGGCTTTATTTTGCCCAAGACTTGTAAAACTTGGCTTCGGGGCAGAAGCACCTCCCAGAGGTCACACCTGGGCAGGAGACAGGCCAGAGCAGTTCCAAAATACCGACGCAGGGCTGAAACACCAATTCCGAAGGGTAAAAGGAAACCAAGAACGTAAAAAAACCCGGGAGAAGCGCTCGCCTCGTGGGTCAGTAACCGCTTCCTGCGTGCCCAGCTTCTTAGGAACCGAAAGCAAACTTTAATGGTTGTGACAGGAACAGAACAGAACTGTTGCACACACGTTGGCTGCGCTAGAACGGCTCTATACACGGAAATACAGTGAAATGCTCTCCAACACCTCTACAGAGTGATACTTTGTGCATGGGTTACGAACAGAAAAGGCTGCTTTCCGTACAAGATCATTAACATACCGCAGCGGAAGTGCCCTCGCGTCTCTGATAAAGCACGTTAATACATTTTTAATTATGTAATTAGTTAATCGAAGGAAAAAAAAACACCACCTTGGTTACGTGTGGTAACTTGTTCAAGTATCTGAAAGGAAGTTGGCTTTTGAATAAGCTAAGGTCTGGAAGGTTGGTTTGGTATTTTTTAGTTGCAGTAAGATTTCTTTAGTGCCTTCATAACTAATTAAGGGGGAAATAAGGCTTCATTAATGAGCCGGGAAGTATGCTGGCTGTTACAAATCAAAAGCACTTTGTATTCGCGGCGGTACCAATATGTACATATTGACAAAAACGAAAAACATGCCGACATCTTCCCGTCAAAACACCGGCTCGTGGAACGAACGCGCCGAACCACCTTGCGGGTGACTTGGTCTCCGCTCTCCCTGGTCCGCGGCAGGAGCTTGTGATGGGTGCGGGGATGAGCGCGCCGAACCCGGGATGAGACCTCCCCGCCGCCTCCATGCACCGACGGGAACGCGCCTGCCTTACACCTTCTTCCTCTCCGAGCCCTCGGCGGGCTCCGCTTTCTGCGCAGGGAAGGCGTGGTGGTACAAGTGTCTGTGAGTCGCTGCGGCGCTGTACAGCTTGTACAAAGCCTGGAGGAAGAGAAAAAAAAAACAAAAAAAAAAAACCAAAACCAAAGGCGATGAGATGATGAGATGGTTACGTCCCCGCCCCGCCGGGCCAGGGTCCGTGCCTTCGCTGCCACGCGGCAGCGGCCGGTTCAGCCCAGTCACGGCGTTCCCGCTGTTTTGTGCCCCAACTCCAGCAAGTGTCCGATGGGGAAGAGGATAAAGCCGGGTAGTTGGCTCATTTTGCAAAGGTCTCAGCTGTGGGGGATGCTCCCGCGTGTTGTGGTAAAGCAGGGGCTCTCTGGAGTGAGGGATTTACGGGGGGGGTGGTCTTGGTGCACGCTCAAAGGCAGCACGGGCTGACGCCAACGTCAGGGCAGTCACAGGGCCGAGACAGCGCTGACCCCGAGGGGCTGGTGCGGGGGCCAGGCGAGGCCACCCCGTCCCCCACCCCTCGGTGGGCTTTATACGCCAAGATACGGGTCTGGGTAGGGAGGACTTGCTGTGATCAGCTGCCATGGCCACTTCAAATGAGCTTGTCATTGGGGGGTGGGGAGAACCCAACCAACCAAAAACCCACCAGCAGCTGCTGGGACCTGAGGGCACTGGTGAGCCAGGATTAGCTCAGGACCGGGTGGGCAGAGGCAGACGACTGGCAGGAACCCGCCTGCTCATGGAGGGGGGGGATGTACCCCCTCTGCCTGGGGGTGCTGAACCACGCGGGCGAGGCTGAAGCCACAGCAAGGCCCGGGGTGGGGCGAGCAGCCTGCCCCATCCCAAACCGCCCACGGGGAACAGCGGTGGCATCGCGTGCCCGTGCTTCGGGACTGTTTGGGAATGTAGCAGCCTGGCAGAGGACTCTTCATGCAGCATCTCTGGGTCTCTTGAAAAAAAAACAACAAGCCTTTCAGCTCCTCCCTAAGCGCCGTTGCAGCATTTTGTGCTGTGAGGCTTTTTCTCATGCCTCACCCACCTCACTGAGCTGACTTTTTTACTTGACAGGAGTTGTTCAAGAGCTCATCACTAGCAAAGCCCATGTCCTGCCGCTTGCTGGAGCACAAGCTGGAAAAAAAGCCCGCGGCCCCAGGGGCCAGAAAGCTTTTAGCTGCTCAGCATTTGTGGCGCAGTGAGGTACCCAAATGGCTGGCCACTGCAGGAAGGAATGGCTTTGTTTTTTTTTCCTTTTTTTTTTGGTTTTTTTTTTTTTTATATAATGGCCTTTTGGACCTGTGAGAGCTGCTCCAACTTTAAGAGGCGCTCCCCGCATAACTCGGTGCCTGAAAAGTGTTGACACCAACAGAAGGAGCTGCCAGGCTTTGGTGGCACGACAGGAGACGGAGCTGTCTTCAGTCACACACCCGGGCCAGAGCGGGGCGGCAACGCAGGACGAACGCACGTGCGCAGTAACACAGCCTGCTAAGGCTGCCTTTTTTATTTAATTAGACGCTTCCAAGGGTCCAGTCGCCCTCGGCACAGGCCTGGCAAGCAGCAAAGCATTTGGCACTGTGGCGCTGGGCAAGCGGAGCCCGGCATACGGGGGTGCTGAGGGCTGTCGAGCCAAGGTTCCCCTGCAGGGCTGCATCGGGAGCCCCGGGCAGCGACCGGCTCCCCTTGGAGCAGTTCCCCGGCCACGCAGGGCGAGAGGGGCTGCGCTCGGCGCACTGCCCTAGGAAGAGGCTGGGGAGACCAAATATGCCTCCCCGGCTCCGCTTCGGCTTACTCAATCCGGTATGGGCTGGGTTTTTTGCCCAAAACGCGGCACTTTCAGTAGCCCAGAGAGGCCTCGCCAAGTATGGGGCTCCTCGGCCGCCGGGGCGGGAGCTCTGCCTGCGCGACGCCTGCGTGGTTGGTGCTACAAAACAAACTGGTGTTGGGGTTTGACCTCTCAGCACAACAGGAAAATCCCCAAAGAGAACTGATGGGAGAAAGATGGGGACTATAGGAAAGGTGGGGAAAATCTTTTTAGTAGGGCCAGCTGTGACAGGACAAGGGGTAATGGTTTTAAACTAAAACAGGGCAGGTTTAGACTGGATATAAGGAAGAAATTCTTTACAATGAAGGTGGTGAAACACTGGAACAGGTTGCCCAGAGAAGCAGTGGAGGCCCCATCCCTGGAAGCATTCCAGGCCAGGTTGGACGGGGCTGTGAGCAACCTGATCTGGGTAAAGGGG